GCTGAGAGTGGCCCTAGTGTTCTCTGCAGCTTTCTTATGGTATAGTAGTTAGGTGCTCATCTGCTAACTGAAAGATCCGTGGTTCAAATCCAGGAGCTGTTCTGTGGGAGAAAGGTGTAGTACTCCGCTGCCATCAGGATTACAGCCTTGGAGAAATGCCCTAGTGGGATAAGACGCAGGTGACCGCTATCCCAAGGTTAAGGATTTGGAAGTCACAGGACTTTGTTTCAGATCTCTTGCTTGGAGGGTGGTCACGGAATGGGGGCTTGGGACTACCATAGATTTGCTCTTTTCATGCTTTCTCTGCTTTTTAATGGTCTGCCTTAGTCTATCCAGCATGGTTCTGCCTTTGTGAAAGAGCATGATGGAAAGCTTTGCCTTATCTACAAGCTTCATTGTTTACATAACTAGTGTCCAGTCACTGGAGAGTTTGATCTGTACAGTTAAACAACCTTTGATTTTTGTTCTAAAATATTGTCCTTTCCATGTATACTTTCCTTTTCTAAAAAATGTCTGGAAGTCTATAACATTGGCTAAAGTAATGATACTTTCAAGAGAATTAGCAACCCTGGTGGTGTAGTGGTTACATATTAGGCTGCGATCTGAATGACCGGCAGTTCAACGCCACCAGCGTTCTACTTCCCTCAACAGTTACAGTCTCAGAAACCCACAGGGTCATTAAGAGTCAGCATTGACTCAAAGGCTGTGAGGTTTGGGGCTTTTTTTATCAATAGAATTACCATATGCCTCATAGGGATGATTTACAATGTTCCCTAATAAAATGCTACTGATGCTTCTAAAGTGGACCCAGGGACATATAGATTTTGAGCTCGTACTGAATCATAGCCATAATCTAAAAGCAATTAGTTCTTATGACATGGCCCTACTCAATACTTACCCATCACTGAAGATAGGAGTATGATAGCAAAGGATGGTAGATAAATCTGATGGTTTCCAGATACCAGAAAGAATAGCATCTGGGGTCTTAAACGCTTGTCTTAAAACAAGCAGACATCTAAGTGAGGTGAAAGACAAGAAGCACACCAACCTGTGTTATTATACAAGGATTGGAAATAATAAAATCCAAGACCAGCCAAGGAAACTGTTTTAGAACTTAAATTGTGAAGACCTAATTTGCAGCAGTATATGGATGACAGTGAAAGTCCAAAATCCATTTGCAGGGCCCCCTCTTGGATCAAGCCTCCAGTGAATTCCTTCTGACCATTGACATGGATGCAAATAGCCTTGCTGTCAGACTAATACAGATGTAATTCGGTTAAATTTAACACATTATTTGTTTTCCCTTCTGACCCACTTTACATCTCTTCTCATTTCTATTATTTTCTGTTATCTTTTCAATTGAGGGTTTCCCTGTTTAATTTTGTTATTGTTGTTAAGTTTTTGTCTTGTTTTTGCTTGTTGCTTTTGTATGGTTTTCTTTATATGAAATCCAAGGTAGATAAATCTATAGAG